CGTTAACTTACATCAAAGATAATAAATGCTCAATAATGGGGGGGGGGGGGTGAACTCCCATTAACATACGTTTTGTTCCAAACTATCATCCCACAAAATTTGGTTGAGATTGGTCGAGCGACCTAGGCGTAGTTAGATAAGGGACAAACAGACAAACACACAAATTTTTGTGTTTTATAGATATAGATACATTAGGTATTGTTATCGTTGTTGAGACGGGTATTTCTAGGCGAATCTGTAGTTTCACTGTTCGCGTCCCGTTTTTAAAAAAAAAAATCCCGCTTTGCACTTATAGTTGTGGGTGCGCTATAAGAATGGTGGTCAAATTTCACTATTCGGTCACATAGTAGTAGCCCAAGAGTTAGTGGTGTGTGCTGTTGCTTAGGTAACGCAGGAAAGAAACTGATACAATTTTCTTTATGTTTATAATTAAAGGAAGGTTTTTTTGTGAACTGCTCCTGCCTTGTGTTTGTTGATGGCAACGTTTCGGGTGCCATGCTAAAGAAAGACTATAGCCGGGAACGTTCTCACCAGTAAATACAATATAGGAGCAGTTCACAAAAATGTTTTTTCTCAAGTATCGACCATACTGCCTAAAGCTAACTTTAAAAAAGCACGTGAAATAATTGTTTTATGGCAAAGGGAATCTGTTCTAACACAGAAAAGTAATTATTTTATGGTACATGAAAGTACTTTAACCAAAGAGTGAAAACATTTTCATTTTTCATTTGATTTTTGTCTTCCAGATGCATCTTCTTCCAAGGTATTTCCCTTACGCAATCTGCATGCAAAGAACTTTTTCCATCTTTCATGGACTCTAATTGTACAAAGCCCAACGCCAGGTGGCAACACATCAAAGTAGCTGCAGTAACGGTAAAATCGTGTTTCTTTAAGTGTAGCTGTAGCTTTATAATGAATAAGCGTATATGTTATTTTTACCTTTTCAAATAAACTATATAAATGTGCGTTTTTAATCTATGTAAGACGTATTGAGGTCGTAAACAGGTTACATTCTGTCACCTAGGGAACAAGAACTGTCACGTAACATTTTATAACTGGCATTAAATTTGCGCTGTTTATGTCTGTTAACTCTGAATAAAATCAAAAAGAAAAAGAAAAATTAAACTTATATTAAATCAATGAATAGCAAGGTTTTGCGTTTTTCTATAAAAAAAAACGACATTTGATCATTGAGAGCTGATTAAATATGTGGTATTCACGGGAAAAACTGTAAGCAACAGGTAAGTTAAAAATCGCAGTCGAAGGACGTTCGAAAAGACGAGTAAAGTGAACACGAACAGTATAGAAGAATTAACTGATAAAGTGTAGATA